ATGAGTGTGTGCACAAGCATAGGAAAATCGCGCTGATCTGCTGTTAGCTTGAAGCCGGTATCCAATGTATGGATATAAATATATAATAAAAATCAAAATTGTATAAATTATATATGTATGTAATTTGAATGCAATATCTATCGATGATTTTCCAATTTTAATGGCATCATGCCGTGTTTTTTGCTGCGCACTAGACTTGAAAATTGCACTATATACTCTGGTTGACAGCGTTTGGGCTGTGAATGAGTCTTCTGCTACGGTATCGCCCGATTGCAACGTTCTTACTTGTTTTGATTGGTTCAGTGAAAGACACTTATTTGCAGACAAAAAAAAGTGTTAACAGTTATTTGCGAGCTATGAAATACACATAGCTTGTTGGCATTTTATGTTGAATTTTATAAAGATATTTGTTTGTTAAAGTGAAAAGACGTTGAATAGATTATATTAAAGAGATCCCATCTGCTTCTGTCTGTGTATTATTATTTGAAAACTGTACTCACCGTACGTTTTAAATATTATTTTATTTATAGTGCACGGGCCATTGGTTGCTTCCTCGACGGTGTCTACTTCTTCAAGTGCTCAACAGTTCATCAACACACCAGCAACGCTTTTATTCACTACTAGGCACGACATCCAAGTAGCTAACATAACGAAGCCAACGGGTGGACCTCAAGTCGATGTGATAGTTAAAGACTTAGCTGATGCGATGGCCATAGACTTCTACTATGCTAAAAATTTAGTATGTTGGACGGACTGTGGCCGTGAAATTATAGAATGTGCTTCGACAAATTCCTCCCAGCCCCTGGCCAAGGCTGCCAAACAAACTGTGATATCAACGGGCCTGGATAAACCGGAGGGTATAGCCATCGACTGGTATACGGATAAAATCTACTGGACGGATGGTGAGAAAAATCGGATTGAAGTTGCAACACTGGATGGCTGCTACCAAAAGGTCCTTTTCTGGACGGATTTGGATCAACCACGTGCTATAGCCGTAGTACCCGCCAAGCGGCTACTGATATGGACAGACTGGGGGGAGTATCCCAAGATTGAGCGCGCTGGAATGGATGGAGATCCCTTGAGTCGCATGACTCTAGTAAAAGAAAATGTGTTTTGGCCGAACGGCTTAGCTGTTGATTTACAAAGTGAACTGATATACTGGACGGACGGGAAGTATCGTTTCATTGATGTCATGAAGCTTGATGGAAGTAATCGACGCACTATAGTTAACAATCTAAAGTATCCCTTTAGTTTGACATACTTCGAAAATCGCTTATACTGGACTGACTGGTTACGCGACTCTCTAAATGCTTTAGATTTGCAGACTAAGGAGCTGAAAGAGCTTATTGATACGACAAAGGCGCCCAACTCTGTGCGTGCCTGGTCGCCGTCATTGCAGCCCTTTGAAAATAATCCATGTGCTCAGAATAATGGCAACTGTTCACATTTGTGTTTACTATCGACCAATACGCAAGGCTATAGCTGCGCCTGTCCTACGGGTGTGAAGCTGTTGACCCCCAATAGTTGCGCCAATGATTCGCAGGAAATGTTATTCATAGTGCAAAGAACTCAAATTAGCAAAATATCACTCGATTCGCCCGATTACACGATTTTCCCTCTGCCTCTTGGCAAAGTCAAGTATGCTATTGCTATTGATTATGATCCTGTAGATGAACATATTTATTGGTCTGATGTAGAGGCCTATACTATTAGGCGGTCCCACATAGATGGTAGCGGGGTTACTGATTTTGTTACCTCTGAGGTGCGACACCCTGACGGTTTAGCCTTGGATTGGCTGGCACGTAATCTTTACTGGACTGACACTGTGACCGATCGCATTGAAGTATGTCGTTTAGATGGTTCAGCGCGTAAGGTACTTATCTACGAGCACCTAGAAGAGCCGCGTGCCATTGCTGTGGCTCCGTCGCTTGGATGGATGTTTTGGAGTGATTGGAACGAGCGTAAGCCCAAAGTTGAGCGTGCATCGCTCGATGGCTCTGAACGTGTTGTTCTCGTATCAGAGAATCTTGGTTGGCCCAATGGAATTGCTCTGGATATCGAACATAAAACCATATACTGGTGTGATGGAAAAACCGATAAAATAGAGGTTGCTAATATGGACGGATCGGACAGACGCGTTGTTATCAGCGAGAATCTCAAGCATTTGTTTGGATTAAGTATCTTGGATGATTATCTCTACTGGACAGATTGGCAACGTCGCTCTATTGATCGAGCCCATAAAATCACAGGCAACAATCGTATTGTAGTTGTTGATCAATATCCTGATCTAATGGGTTTGAAAGTAACTCGACTTCGCGAGGTGCGAGGGCTAAATGCCTGTGCTGACCGTAATGGTGGATGCTCTCATCTGTGCTTAAATCGTCCACGGGACTACGTCTGCCGCTGTGCCATCGATTATGAACTGTCCAATGACAAGCGCACATGTGTAGTACCAGCCGCCTTTTTATTATTCTCTCGTCAGGAGCATATTGGTCGAATATCTATTGAATACAATGAGGGGAATCACAACGATGAGCGCATTCCCTTTAAAGATGTACGCGATGCCCATTCCCTGGATGTATCTGTAGCTGAGCGCCGTATTTATTGGACGGATCAAAAGGCTAAATCCATATATCGGGCATTCCTCAACGGGTCATTTGTACAGCGCATTGTTGATTCTGGCCTGATTGGACCTGACGGCATTGCCGTTGATTGGCTAGGTCAAAATATATACTGGTCGGACGCAGAAGCACGGCGGATTGAAGTGGCTCGTCTCGATGGAAGCAATCGTCGGGTACTCCTATGGAAGGGAGTGGAAGAGCCCCGTTCTCTTGTACTAGAGCCACGTCGCGGCTATATGTACTGGACGGAATCTCCATCCGATTCTATTCGCCGCGCCACAATGGATGGCAATGAACTACAAACAATTATCGCAGCTGCTAATCACGCCGCGGGGTTGACTTTTGATCAGGACAATAGACGTATTTACTGGGCAACGCAATCGCGACCAGCAAAGATTGAGTGTGCCGACTGGGATGGGAAACGCCGACAGTTCCTAGTAAATAGTGACATCGATGAACCTTACGCTGTATCTTTATATCGAGACTACATTTATTGGAGTGACTGGAACACTGGAGATATTGAGCGCGTGCACAAAGTAACAGGACAAAATCGCAGTCTTGTGCACTCTGGCATGACATACATAACCTCACTGCTAGTTTTCAACGAACAGAGGCAGACGGGCAGTAATCCCTGTAAAATAAATAACGGCAACTGCCAACATTTATGCCTTGCTCAGCCAAGTAAACGCGGCATGACCTGCGCCTGCCCCACACATTACCAGATTGCCAAGGATGGCGTGTCGTGCATACCGCCACGGAACTACATCATCTTTAGTCAGCGTAACAGCTTTGGCCGCTTGCTTCCAAATACAACGGATTGTCCCAATGTGCCATTGCCGGTTTCAGGCAAGAATATAAGGGCTGTCGATTATGATCCCATAACGCATCATATATACTGGGTAAGCATTTAAACAATATTGAGGTGATTAAGGTTGCTATTGTAGTCAAATTTTTTCTTTTTTGTTAGATCGAGGGACGCAGTCACAGCATTAAAAGGTCTTTGGCAAATGGTACCAAAACAACTGTGCTGGTAAATTCTGGACAACCATTCGACATTGCCATAGACATTATTGGTCGATTACTCTTCTGGACGTGCTCGTATTCAAACAGCATCAATGTAACCAGGTATATAATATTGAAAAGAAAAAGTAAATAAGAAAAATATTATAAAACGTGACTATGAACATTTAGCTTTATTGGAGAGTCAATTGGTGTAATTGATACCGGGGATTCAGAAAAGCCACGAAATATTGCTGTACATTCGTTAAAACGGTTAATATTTTGGTCGGATGTGGGCAGTCATCAAGCTATTATAAGAGCTCGTGTAGATGGCAATGAGCGCATGGAGCTTGCTTACAAGCTTGAGGGTGTTACTACAATTGCCTTGGATCAACAGTCCGATATGATTTATTATGCACATGGAAAGCGAATTGATGCAATGGATATCAATGGGAAGAACGTGTAAGTGAACACCATAAATTTGATTTGACATTAAAACTTATGTACTTATGATGTAGACCCAAGACTGTAAAGCAAGGCATTTTAGATCATACTTAATTAGCCTTAGACTGATTTAGCATTTTCTAACTTATTCTATTACTCCTAGAAAAACACTTGTGTCCATGCACATCTCACAGGTTATCAACATTGCGGCGCTAGGTGGATTTGTCTACTGGTTGGATGACAAAACTGGAGTGGAACGAATTACAGTGACGGGAGAACATCGCTCAGCAGAGCTTCAGCGATTACCACAAATTACGGATATCCGAGCTGTGTGGACTCCGGATGCAAAACTATTTCGTAATCATACCTGCTTACATAGTCATACCAAGTGCTCACATATTTGCATAGCAAACGACGAAGAAGTGAAGCACCCACGCGATATTTGTTCCTGTCCCAAGCATTTAATGTTGCTCGAGGACAGGGAAAACTGTGGCGCTTTGCCTGCCTGTGGACCTGGTCACTTTACCTGTGCAGCACCAGTGGCAGGAAATAGTGATATGAACAAAGATTGCATACCAGCGTCATGGCGCTGTGACGGCCAAAAAGATTGTCCTGACAAGTCAGACGAAATTGGATGTCCTTCATGCCGAGTGGATCAGTTCAGCTGTCAGTCTGGAGAATGTATTGATAGATCACTGGTCTGCGATGGAACTACAAACTGTGCCAATGGCCATGATGAAGCAGACTGCTGCAAGCGACCAGGTGAATTTCAATGTCCCATAAATAAGGTAAGGAAACGAGTGCCTTTTTATCAAGGATTATTGTAAAAAGCGAATATTGACGATTCAGCTTTTTTTTTTTTTAGCTTTGCATCTCGGCGGCCCTACTCTGTGATGGCTGGGAAAACTGTGCTGATGGAGCTGATGAATCTGTGGACATTTGCCTACAGCGACGTATGGCACCAGCATCTGATAAACGCATTTTTATGATTTTAATTGGAGCCACAATGATAATAATATTTTCCATTGTTTATCTGCTACAATTTTGTCGAACACGTTTAGGCAAAAGCCGCACAGAGCCCAAGGATGATCAGGCCTCAGATCCTCTGTCGCCGTCGACACTTACTAAATCACAAAGAGTTTCGAAAATTGCCTCCGTAGCTGATGCGGTTCGCATGTCGACACTGAACTCAAGAAACAGTGTGAACTCGTATGATCGCAATCACATAACAGGTGCCTCCAGTTCAACGACCAATGGTAGTAGCATGGTGGCGTATCCCATCAATCCACCACCTTCACCCGCAACGCGTTCGCGTCGTCCTTACAGACATTACAAGATAATTAATCAGCCTCCTCCGCCCACACCGTGCTCAACGGATATATGTGACGAATCAGACTCAAACTATACTTGTAAATCAAATAGCAATAATAGCAATGGTGGGGCCACTAAATTGCCATCTACTTCCGCTGCCGCCTGCCTTCAGTTTGGCTATGACAGCGAGCCATATCCTCCGCCTCCGACTCCACGTTCGCATTATCATAGCGATGTTCGCATTGTGCCCGAGTCTTCATGTCCACCATCGCCATCATCGCGCAGCTCTACGTATTTTTCACCACTACCGCCTCCCCCATCGCCAGTGCAATCGCCAAGTCGTGGATTTACGTAACATTTCGAGTCTTATATCTAAAGATTTAAGTTCTTATCTTATTCTTATTCTTATCCCATTGAAAATGGGAAATCAGGGTATAATGGTTTTGTTAAAAGTATGTAACAGGCAGAAGGAGGCGTGGCAGACCCCACATTCTTGATAAGGGCGACGAGCTAAGTCGATTTGGCCCTGTCCGTCTGTCTGTCCGTCCGTCCGTATGATATGAGAGCTAGAGGCTTGAAAATCCGTTTATATCAAGCGCATATAGAGTTTTTGTCTAAATATCGATAACTACCCCCGATATTTTATTATCGATTTAAAAAAAACCTTATCGAAAGCTAGTTATTTAATTATATCCCCTATACCTTTAGAGCTTGCAAATTTTAAATGTAGACTTATATGTATGTATTTTATATATTTTCGATTTTTGTTGTAATTTACCCCACACCCTTATATCCACCCCTCACCATCACCTTTGTAAAAGGCGTATTTCAAGTACTAGAGACNTCTGAAAGTTTCATTAAGATTGTACGTCTAGAAATTAAATTATTCAACAAATAAATTCTTATAATGTTGCCCACACTGCAGCGCAGCCCAAGCGCAGTCGCTGCTTACTGCGCAGTTAGCAGAGCGCGTTCTAATACGTGCGTGTGTATGTATGTGTGCCGAATAGAAGTGCAGAGTGATTAGAATATCAGATTAGAGGGTTCAGGGTATCTCCTAGTCGAGCAGTCTCGACTAGAGTCGTCTTACTTGTTTGTACACAAATTGTATATATTAAAATGTATTTTTTATGAAGAAGGCCATTTGATAATTAATATTTAATATGTTAGTGTTGTTAACCTTGATCAATATTGACATGTGTAAAAAGTATAGCTATAATCATTATATATATATCGATCTCGTTAAGTTTTATTTGCCGAACGACATTTATTAGTAATGTACGCTAACAATGGTCTACAATTTCTACAATAAAAATTAATAATAAAATTATCTTATTAGGTCTAATCAATGATATACAAATCGAAAACGCGTGCCAAAATTTATAAAATACATACATTGTTTGTACTTAGTAACTACCAATAATACAGTTTTCCAGGCCAAATGTTTGGTTTGTTATACTTTACTTTTTGTTAATAGCTAGTTTTTTTTGTTTCAATTCTGTAGTGTTATAAGCATCGAAAGTGCCTCGGTAATATGTGTAATATGTGTGTTTATTGTTTTCCTTTTGACCACGATTTTTAGTTTTAAAAAAATTCTAAATAGAAAACTTTTGTTGATTTTGGGAATACTTTAAAAATCCTTGTAAAAGTATTTGTATAATCTACACCTACGAGAGTTTTTACCTTTAATATATTAAATGTGCAGTATTTCGAAAATATATATTTAAATTATTTATCGAGTTTTGTACACACAAATCTCATGCAGAGCACAGAAAATGTAAAAGTCGGCAGAGGAAGCCTTTACTACTTTAATATATTATACATACATACATATGTTGTATTACCTGAGCCAATCCAAATAAAATTTTAAAAAAATTCAGAAAGGTCAGACTTTGACATCGAAGCTATACAATATTATATTGCCGCAACTTGGTAGGTCGCTGAGCACAACTATTCGTTGATAAGGAAACAAATTTGATAGTGTAATATTGTGCATGCTTGTCGTACACATTTTTTATATAGCTTCAATTATTCAGCGGTTTGTTATATAAAATAATTCAAAACTTAAAATCCAACATTGTCTTTATTCGCTAAAATTATTGCTTACTTAAACCTAAAGTACATAGTATTGTAATAATTTAAAAACGCATTTATACAAATTCTACTTAAATGTTGTCATAGTCTTCATCTAATTCGAAAAGCGATTCGGTTATTGGCGCTGATGCCGAAGTGGGCCTTGGAATGCTTGGAGTTTTGCTCATTTCATCGATATAATTGACAGACGATCCAAATTTAGAGATTGAATTGTCATTGTTTCCATTTATGTTGGTTTTATCTGAAGACATTATTTCATAACTAATCTTCGTTGGAGCGGGCAGCGCACCAGTTGTCACAATATTTGTAAGATCAATGTTTATAACTGGAGGTGCAATATTAAGGTTTAACATGGCAGTTGATCTAATGCCATTATCATCGCCTGATGGGCATGATGTTGTCGTTGTCATTTGAACGTTGCTATAATCGATTTTTACTATAGGCTTGTTGAGCAACTCATAATCGCATATCGGTGGAGCTATGGCAGTGTCTAGTGGTAGTCTATTATTGTGGTCATTGGTGTCGTTGGACCTACCACGCGATGTGTATATAGGCATTGACTCAGACCGTGCTAACTTTGTGGGCAAAGGACCAGTCTGATGATGAATCTGTGCAAGCGCTGGGGCTGTTTGCATTACAACTGAGGGCGTAGAGGGATTGTAGTTTCGCTTTTGCCCACCTCCATTTAAACTAATAGAGCGCATGTAAGAATTGTTTCCATTGGGCAACAGTCGCAGTGAAGTCGACGGCAGACTTAAATCATATGGTGTATCCGAGTCTGGGTATTGTTCTTCGGAGCTCTGTACATCATCGTCATTATAGTTAAACGCAGCTTCTTCGGCGACACTGATATCTGGTATATTTCTTACTAGCTCTTTCAAAAAATCGAATCGTTGTTCAGACATAATGCACTGTTTCATATGGGATGGCGATAAGGTCTTAGCATTTCGTGAATTTGTTATACGCAGAGTTTTAGTTAAAAGCGACTCCACAAATAGCTCCAAAGTCCGTGATATGATAACAGGTACCGCCTGTGCAACCTTACCAATTTCCTCATCACTCTGCATAATTTTCTTAATGCGACCCTGTCAATTTAAAAAATGGTCACATAATTATTTCAATGCACATTTTACGTTTGCACCAAATACAAACTGATAAACTCATCGTTGCGATAATGATGCACACAGAACTTTGCGCATTAAATGCACTTCTACTAAAGATTCTATATATCATTTAACTTACCGCTGGAAACCGTGCATTGTACTTTTTCTTTTTTGATGGCATTGATACACTGTTTAGTCTAATATCGTCGAATACAACTATAATATGTTCTATTAAAAGACTTAAATTTTTACTTGCTTGTCTTTACACAAGAATAGTTCCTAATAGTGGTATTTGGGAATGGCAACAATTCACATAAAATATAGTTAAATCAGCATTCACCCAGAAATATACTATATACCAAATTTGATTCAAACAAACAACTAGTTGTACTATAAATTAATATCAAAAATACATTTTAAACATTTCTGAGTTTTAAAATATTTTTGTATTCACTTTACAAGAAATATGTATGTATATCTGGGCAACGTTGCAAATCGCTTGTTGTTGAATGTGAATGTCTTAACTTTGAATTTAAAATAAACAAAATTTAGACAGTGTGGCAACCTTTATAGAATTCACTGTGAATGTCAACGTTTACATCATTTAAAGATAGTAAGTAACCTTTGCTTTGCGTAGTTAATAAACAATTTCATCCAACTCGGTTCCCCGAATTAAGCAGATTTTAATTGATGTTTAAGGCTAATAAGGATCCATGTAAGCCTTTCGCCTGTGCTATACAAGCTTGTTTAGTGGGTAAGTAAATGAATTGATCCACGATATTATGCAATGGGTACTTAATATAAATCTGCACCTATATACATACATACATACATGCAGAAATAAAAAAAAAAAAATAAATATGTGAATTGAAATATTTTCGCAGAACATAATTTTCAAGAACATAGATGCAGTGAGGTGCTTGAGCAAATGCGTTTGTGCTGCCTTAAGTGGCATAAGGAGTCACTGTGTTGTAGTGGTATCAATTTGGAAAAATCTTATTTACAAAATCCAGAAGTTGAAATCAAACCAAAGATTTCACGCAGGTATGGTACACAAAATTTTATATATTCTAGACAATCGAAAGTAATAAAATGTTTCCTAGTAGTAACAAATAATGCCAACACCAACACCCGTATCTTCATACAAGCCGCCCAAAGATATTCCAGATTTTTTGAGCAAGAGAGAGAGGGAGCAAACAAATATACGCAAGAGAACTGCTGTTTTACCGAAGCGTTCTTGGATAAAGCGCAATCCGCGGCTATTTCAAATAACTTTTTTGACCTCATCATTGCTTATATTTTTCTCTAAACCACTGTACGACGCATTCATAGCGGACCCTTTACCCTCGAAGGGCATTATACCAGCACATAAACGTTAAGGCATGGAATCTGTACGCAAGGCCAATATCCGACTACGTAACTATCCATTACTGCTGACAAAGTGTTCAGATAAAGCGACACTATATGCGAAGTGCGTATCTCGGGATATTAATGTGCATCAGAAAGTTTGCGAAACCGAGTTTAAGGAATTCTTAGACTGTATGCGTAAAACTGCCAAAGACCTAAAAACAAAGCTGTAAATATATTTTTATAATCACTGCGTTCAACATGTCGGAGCAAAGTAAGAAATCCTCGTGGCTGCAGGATAAGGGACAGAACCTATTGAATTTAAACATTCAATCACATTTAGTAATTTCTGCAGTGCTCCGACTTATGCTTATTTTCTATGCCCAAGTACACGACAACAGATCAACTGTTCCTTATACAGACATTGATTATAAAGTGATAACGGACGGGGCACGACTAGTGTTGATTGGAGACACACCGTTTGCTCGGCACACCTACCGATATAGCCCCATATTGGCCTACATTCAAATTCCAAACGTTATTTTACATCCAGCAATAGGAAAATTGATTTACGGACTGTTTGATCTACTCCTAGGGTTGCTTATTTATGCCTTAGTGCGTTTGGAATTTCGAACGAAAGAGCTCAGCCATTCGCACATGAAATACGAAAGGTCAATGAAGATATCTTCACATAATCCAGAACACAGAGATGAAGAAACCACGAAAATTGCATGCGTCTCTGCCTGCCTTTGGCTATACAATCCGCTTACGGCTGTAATATCGACCCGAGGGAATGGTGACAGTATGACCGGATTCTTTGTAATACTAAATCTATATCTTCTAATGAGAACGCAACACTCGGTGTTTAAATTTTGGATTGCGTTTTGTGCAGGTTTTGTTCATGGATTCGTTATACACTTACGGCTCTATCCAATAGTATTCAGTTTAACATACTATTTGGCAATATCGGGTCTATCAAAAAAGCCTCTCGGACTGTTGCAAAAAATGTTTCCTAATACACAGCAGATTTACCTAATAATCGGAACACTTATAGGACTAGTAAGCTTTACTTCCACTTTTTATTTTCTCTATGGCTGGAAATATATATATGAAGCATATTTGTATCACTTGATTCGAAAGGATGTACGCCATAACTTTTCACTTCAGTTCTTGCTGCAATATCTGACTAATGAAAACGGAGTTGGAGAATCATCACCGACTGTAAGATTTCTTATAGTAGCACCTCAGTTGTTACTTATAGTTTATTTAAGTTTTAGTTTTGGAAGTTCTAGGCGTACATTATCTTTTTGTGTTTTCACTTTGGCCTTTGTTATTGTCACTTATAATTCTGTGGTTACTTCACAGTACTTTATATGGTATTTGGCTGTGCTTCCTGTATGCATACGAAATTTGAAGACTTTGTCATTAGCAAAGTCTACATCGCTACTCTTTCTTTGGCTTTGCGGACAAGCTTTTTGGCTACTTCCGGGATATTTATTAGAGTTTCAATCATGGCCAACTTTTTATTGGATTGGCACCCAGAGTGCAATTTTCTTTGTTATTAACAGCTATATTTTATCCCAACTCATAAGCCACTTCGAGCCATAATAATGTAATATACTATTATTGTACTATTAATAATAAATGTGGATTCATGTACATATGTATATCTTAATATAAACTTAGATTTATACAAGCACTTTCTCATCCCTTAAATTCAACTAAAACCTTGGGTCAACTAAAATGACCTTGGCAGACCTTTCACCCACAAAAATTAGTGTTATAATCAGGACCTCCAGGCGAGAAAATACACGGACACTGACACCTGCAAAGCGAAGATAATCCAGTTATTCTACACTCCCTTCATATGTTTGTATTTATTTATGTTAATGTGTGTATTTATTAGAAACAGAATCAGCAAGAGCCAAACAGATATTTTTCAGACAAATTCAGATTCATCGCAAGAAATGGACTTACAAACACTTGAGTAATTGGACGCCATAGGTTCTACCAATTTGTGATTTATATGCTATCATTTATTATGAAGCCGAATGGGTGCAACGCAGCACTCTTCCAACATGTACACACATATGTATGAACATTTGCGCCCACACATACGCAATTTTACACTTTGTGCACACTGCACAGAATGTACATTATGAGACCTGTCATGCGTACTTCGGTCTGTTACATACACTATTACAAAACCATCAATCATCTGAATTCACATTTTCAATCGTTTACTCGAAACATTAATATGTGTATTGCTATTACATACATATATAAAATATTTCGCTTAAATATCGGCTATGTTCTTCAATTTTTTCTTTAATTTCGATTATAAAATATATAAGTAAACCAGAATTATACAGTAAATCAAGATAAAGTTTACAACTAAATAAAACACGTTTCTGCATAAAATGTGTATACTTATTCTTAGGCTGAAGCTCTTTCTTAAAATATATATTATAATTGCATAAATACTTAAAAAAGCTAAAATAAAATTAGTGTATAAAAACTTTACAGTACAGTTATGACTTTATTTTAATTTTTATATTCAAAAATGTTATGGAAAGGGTAAGCTGAATGGCACTAAATTATTCATGGTTTCAAAAATGGTTATTTAGATGTAAACATTTTTTTTTAGTTGTATAAATTTTAATTTTGCTTACATTTACTTTCGGACGTTCTGATGTAAAAACTATTACTTTTTTATGTATTTCCAGTCTGCAAGATTTATTGAAAGGTCTATTGAATCTTTGCTTTATTTTATAAGTATCAATTAAATATGAAGATAAATATTTATGTTAAAGTTTAATCTCCAATCATGTTAAATTATGTCAAAAAACACACAAACGGTTTTTATTGTATAATACATTTTTCTTTTCCACCGCTAATGTCAACTTGTTCAAGCTCGCGTGCTATTTCCTGGTCGTCCTCAATACTACAAGATAAACATGATGTGAAGCGCAAGACACATATTTAGTAAAAATACATACGCTATTTCTTGGTTATGCAAATGCTGTACTAGTTGATCTCTTTTATCAACAATCGTCACCAATTCTTCTAGCAATAGACGTTCCTTTTCTCGTTGTACCTCTGTTTTTCGCCAATCCTCCACGGACTGGGCAGCGCGGAGTTCCTGATTAAGCATTGTAAATTTACGCTCAAGATCCTTTTCTTGTTCACTTCAGGAAATTAAAAATGATTATCTCTAAATTAGATGTGTAATTTATTACTTCTTACAGAATATTTAACTGCATCTGCCTCCTAAGAAGTGCATTTTTCTTGTTCACAAGCGTGAACCACTGCGAAAGTAATTGTTCTTCCGTCTCTTCAGTTTCTGGGGAAAAGAAAAATATTGTTTAAAATACCACTTGTCTCCATATAAAAAAACTGTGATAATATTTAATATTGTAACGAAATCGTTTTTTTAAGAAATATTTTTGCGGTGTCAGTATATTCTAGCTGTCGTAGAGCGCTACTTGTGATTAGTGATACTCTTTGTGGTTATGGTACAAATTTGAAAGGAAATTTGATTAGGCATGTCAAAGTTTATGTTAATATTTTTTAACAAATGCAGCGCTTTGACAGAATAGTTAAAAGCAAAAACATTTAACACAGATATGAGAGCGGCAGGCGTTGCGTGCTGTTGCGGGCATGGCAAAAGCAGTTAGCTTAATGTTCGTCGTTAGAGATACCACATTACCACAAAAGCCGCGGGAACGCGACTGTCGGTGTTTTTGCTGGCCCCTTTTGTGGCCATTACGTCTTCGTCGACAACAAGCAGCATGACTAGTGGCAGCTACAACTGGAGAATTGTCACCTTCCCCATTAAAGACATGTACTTTATCACAGGATTGTTTGGAAGTCGCAACTGAGGCAGAATTACATAGTAAATGGCTATAAGATTCCACGTGATGAACGTGGTGCGGAGTTTGGCCCGTGCCATGCTGATGATGCTGACAATGATGGTAATTTGTTTCGATTTGGTGTTGATATGTGGGCTGTATTAGTGGGTAGTTAAGATTTACATTTACAAAACAAGAGTGAGCACGAGGCCGCGACCGTGTTTGCATCTTCTGCATCGGTTGCATTGATATAGCTTGATTTACAGGGTGATGCATATCATTCCTGCCAGAGGTGCTGGAAGTGTCACTATATACCTCATCATCGTCATTATTCTCATCAGTATCACTGCTAGCACCACTTATACCACTACCAAATAAACTTTCATCATCCGAGTCAAGGAGCTTAATGCGTATGACATCACCACCACCAATGCTATTGCGTATTAATCTAAGGAAGGGATTTGTACCATTTCGATTATTACTTGGATTACCGCCCATGACTGCACGGAGTTTGGCCTCTAGATTGCTAGCCTTTTGGTCAATCGCCTCTTGCTCGCGTTCCAATGCTTCCAGCTCAGACTCAATATAGGTTAGTCTATCATTCTACAAAATAAACTTGATTGAAATACATAATACATTACTTTTAAGAGAATACTTACTCTTCTTTCATGCTTTGGTGAAATCCTCTCCACCACTGCGTTAAAGGATTGTAGTGGAGTAAGGGTTCCATCACTTAATCTATGACTAGGACTCATATGAATAGCATGTTCTATGGTCTTATCCCGAGTAGAGGCTATTTGATTAGAAATAACGTCGACGTGAGATTCTCCGCAGTTGCTGCCGTTTGGAGTAGGTGAAATCGTAAGCTCAGAAGTAAAATTAAATCTCTTCAGCTTAGTAGGGGATGTAGGACTGCCAGCAACGTTATTTACAGGTCCGGCTATCTTATTTCGCGTTTCTAAAATAAGCCGTCGTGCTTGTTCCCGTAATCTCTGCTGGCGTTCCTCCTGCTTTGAATATCATAAATATCATTCAATTAATACACATTTTATTTTAGTTATTTTTTTTTTTTTTCATAATTAACGATGTAAACAGGCAAAGCGGTAATACAATTTTGCCCATTATTACTTACATCACTTGCATCGAGGCGTTCGTCATAACTAATTTTTAATTTTTCCATCATCAATTTAGCTTTTTCGCTCATTTCTTTGTGACGTATTAAAATGCGCTACGAAAATAAATACGAACAAAACAAAAAACAGTAGCAAAAGCCAAAGCCAAAGCAGCCGCAAAATTGTATATAAATTAAAAGATGCTAATTAAATAACGAAACGAAAAAACTTAAAACTCTATTAAAAATCAATTTGCATAGCTTTCTATTACTAGAAACTCTTTCGCTGGGATAAGGATTTACTTACACTTGTTGCATTGGCATCGAGCGACATAGGCAATATAGGTTCCTTGCTAAGCTTTGCCATTTCCTCATTTACATCGTCATCAATAGGGGGTGGCGTAGGGGAGCGGCGAATTAATATTGATTTATTATTTTGACTTGTGGTTTGTATTGCGTTGGTTGCATTTTTATCTTTTGTTGGAGACAGAACTTTACCCAATATACTCTTTGAACTAGTCAGTATAATATTTTTCACGTCTTTTTTACTGGAGGGTGATATTTGTTGTTGTTGTTGACAAAGGTTATCTTCRTCGAACGAATTTTGGTGTAAAATCTGTGTCTTCAGATGAGAAAAATTGATAAGATTTTGCGATAAATTATCAGATTTATAGTTGCCGATGACATAGCTAGACTCATCCGATGTTGGACCTGAACATAGGGAATTTACAGATGAATTAAAAAATTTATTTTCGGTTAAAAATTACTTACCAATTTGTTCAATTTGCAATTGCTTTCCAGTAAAATGAGCCCTCAATTGGTGCAAGTATGTCATGACAGCTAATTTATCCGGTACTGTGAGTAAATCCATATCACGTGGCTCAATAACACGTGGTATTCCCAATGTTTCTGCTGCATCAAAGGCTGCACGACAGTTGCCAACAACGTCATGGGCAGTCAGCTTAGACATATCTCTGATGTCAACAGTAATTGAAAAATTTAACATTACATGTTTTATTTACGTCAACTACATATCTACTCACATCAAGTGCGGCATAAAATGATGAATGATTGCACAGAAAGCCATTCCATTACGCCAGCTAGTAGTTAAATTTGTGACTTTCACATTTGGATAATCTTTGGTTACCTCTTTACACCACTCTAACAAATCTTGTCCAGGGGTGTTATCCTTTAGCACGATCTTTTGTAATGGTTTTAAATCGGAGTTATTTATTTTCGTAGAATTATTTACAGCGGGTGTAGAGTCATAGCTTTTCTTTAAATTCAAGGGCTGAAGTTCCGGGCGTTTAACAATTGATATTATTGCTACGTCGTCTATAGGCTTCGTTGAGTTTTCAATCGATTGCACTGACCCAGTTGACTTTCTGCTGACTGGAGTTATATTCAAGTCAGCGGCTGATTGATCATTGTAAGAATTATTAGCTTGGACTTTTAGCACATCCACGGCACTGCAATCTTGCTTGTCAAGGGTTAGAGCTTTATTTAAGTCGTTCTTATACTTTAATTTTTCTGTGGTATTTGATTTTTCTTTAATAGGAGTAGATGTTAGCAATTCATGAAAACTTTCGTTTCGATTATATTCCAACGGTTTATAAACGATATTATTTTCCGTTGTATACTGATGACTATCTTTGCCTTTAGTAGGCGTAATAAGCTGTGCCTCAGCTGCAGCTGCAATACTTAATGGTTCATCAGTATCAACTATTAACTGGGGCTGTAATCCGACAGCTAAATGATTTGCACGATCCGTTTCTACTTCAAAGTGTAGATGGTTAAGGGATTCTGCCAAAGGAGTTGGGTCTTCGGATAACGAGGGAACTACAAAAAAAAAAAAAAAAAAAAATACACAAAACAATCAAATTCTATAATGGCATCTTATGGTCGTTTGTTTAAACAAGCAAGCGTTTTAAGAGAGAAATCATATCGATGATTTAAAAAGAGGTTTCTTGTTGAAGCATTTCATTTACAAGTATACGATAGTTTATAAGTTAAATCATCGCAAGATAGTACCCAAAACTTAGCTCTATCTACAATATGTTTAATATTTTAGCGATACAAAATAAACCATACCACTTAGCGGTGTTGGTACATCGGTACAACCGTTTAAGCTTGTTGTCATTTGCTCTAATTGTTGGGTGAAGTCATATAAATTATCAGATATATCACCAGAGGTTTCTAAGTCTGGAATATCCTCTAGGTCATCCAGTGGCGCGACATCGCAGTTGTTATTAACCGACATAAATGATACAACGCTTTGCATATCCTCATCACTGCAAAAAGAAACAATAGAGAACAATAAATTTCTATTTGAACGCGAGTTCTTATTAATGTGTTTATAACTCACGTTGCTTTACCCTCTCGCAAAAACACACAGCTTATTGTTAATTCCAAGTCAGCGGATGTAATTTTGCGAGAAACTGGCTTGAGGCTTAATGTAAAACTCTGCTGTGTAGACTCGATGCTGGCATATTTACGCATATTTATGCTTGCACTTGCCAATACTCGTTTTTTACCCAGGAGTGAAATCTATAAAAAATTATTGATTAAAAACTGTACTCTTATTGAAATGTAATTTGAGAGTTCAATAAACTGCAAGGAAAACTATAAAATTCTTTCTTCACATCTACTCACATCTTCGATTACAAATGTCCAGTCTTTATCCTCAAGTTCATGAGTGCGAGGATCTTTGAATAAAGTTACTGATATAGCGTGATTGTCGGGAACTGGCCACGAAATGTTTCCCATTAGGGGGCTCATCATATCTGGCTCCCATGGTAATGGTGAGCTAGCAACACGCCTCGAACGGCGAGTCCAAACTACCGAGATGTTTGAAGGACGCCTACGAAAGCATATTTAAAAATACCGTTAATAGTATGTATTATGATAAAATATATAAGAAAGCTCTAGTCGAGACTACTCGACTACGAAATCCCCTGAACCCTTCTAAGAATTTATATTTCAATAATTATTCGCGAATTTCTGCTTACACAAGAAACACACACACAGCCACACATAGGCATGCACGCATAAACACGCATGGACTGCAGTATGGTCTTACTATGGGAAATTAATTGTTTAATAACTTTTCTTGTCGAAAATTGTAGATCGCAGTCATAACATTAAAAGACGTATAGGTGCTAAAGCACAAGTCTCTAATATTTGAATCTGTTGCAAAGCTGTGGATGAGGGGTAGGATATAGGGGTGGGGGTAAATATCAACAAAAATCTAAATTCTCTTTAATCTAGCTCTAAAGGTGTAGGAGATATAAATTTATAGCTGGTTTTCGATAGGGGTCTTATTCGATAAAAAAGAAGTAAGAAAGCTCTAGTCGAGACTACTCGACTACGAGATCCCCTGAACCCTTGGAGTAATAGCTACATATTTCAATAATTTTTCGCGTCTTTCAGCTTACACAAGAAACACGCACACACAAACACACACACACAAACACGCACGCACACACAGGCATACATACACACACATACATACACACACACACACACACACATACACAAACAATTACATACATATACACACACAAGCATA